ATCGCCATCGTTCAGGATTTGGCCCAGAAGCAAATTTCCAGCATGCTAGAGCGAATTGCAGAGGTTATGAAAAACAATGGTCAACACTGTAAATATTGACTCATTATATTTTTTTGCCAATAAAAGCCTTTAAAACTTATATGTTTATCATTGTTTTTCAGTATATCATAGAAACATGTGGAAAAATAATCTACAAATACTGAAGCAGCAAACTTTGCAAAACACAAAATGTATGTCACTGCCAAAACTTTTGGCCATGACTGTACGTGAAACGTAGGCCTACATGGTATTTTATGCTTGTGTAAATGTTAGTATAATAATTATTATACGGCAGAATAAAAATCACAAGATGCAGTTAACATGTGGGTAATAAAACATTCCTATATAAAACATTTTTAGTGTTTAATATGTTGATAGTCTTTATATTGTTTTTGTATGGTTGGGTCACAAGGGAGTGAGTCATAACGAATTATTCATTATGAAATTTATGAATTATGAATTTATTGCAGCGGAAAGAATGTTCTCGCTACACCTGACCAGGTAAAGCCAGCAGGTGTGAAGCAGATACAGACGCGCGCGGATCTAGGCCCCGCCCCCCGCTATGATTGGTTCACACCTGTGCGCGAGCAGAAACACAGCATCGCCGGGGCGAGGTGAGACTGTCCCGGCTGAACTCTGGACGTGACCTCGCGCGGCTGCACGCAGAGGCTCGTTTAGGATCTGAGGGAGTCTGGAGTCTGAGGATGGTGAGCTGAGCTCGCGAGTGTGACACTGCTGCTCGTCTTGTACGGTCTTCTTGTTAATGCTGCTGCCGTTTTCTCGCTTTAACATCACCAACAGGTCAAAACTATTAAGATTCGAATCCGAGTGTCAGACGGAGGTCAGATAGAGCTTTGTTTTTTGTGTTTTCTCTTCTGTAGAGCTGTTTGTCTGGGATCTGTCCTTATATTTGACCCTTTGTTGTGTTTTACTGCACACACACACTGTTCTTTTGCTGATAAGAGGGACATTTGTATTTCCTCGTGTCAAAAAGACAAAGGTGCGTTTGTTGCTTTTATCGCTTTTCTTGGTTGAAAACATCAATTTGCAGTTTCATGTTCACATTTCCAGTAAGAAATGCATGACCGTGTCACTGTAAACTATACTTCGTTTTAGGACGTTATTAAATGTAAAATGATTCATATAGTAATTTTATAGTCTAAACAAGCACAGGCTTTTATTCGTTATGAGTTGTAGTGTAGTAATAATTTTCACTGTATGCACTGGCAGATGTATTCAAGGTAAACATTTCAGAAAAACATGAGTTTCCTGAGAATTGAACCCATGACCTTGACATGCTCCAGCTTTTTTTACCTGCTTTTTTACATAATTGCATCAAGATTACAAAAAATGTATAAGAATATTATTTATTATTTATTATATTGTAATTATTTTTAAAATATAATTGGTGACTATTTTAGTTTTCCACCTTTTTTTGTTGTTCATTTCAAATGGTCCTGAAGTAAAATGATTGCTTTTAAATAAAGCAATTGGAATTATGTTCGTCACACTGCAGGATGTGTGTTAGATTTATAATTTGTTGTTAAATTAATTGTAAAATATTGTTAAATTATTGCAATTATTATAAATTATTAAGTATTATTATTAAGTATTATTAGTTATTAGTTACTAGACAAGTAGTTATTACTCTTGAGTTTGCTAATTGATGCTGAAATAGTGTCAAATTAAATATATATATATATATATGTGTGTGTGTGTGTGTGTGTGTGTGTGTGTATATATATATATACAGTGGGTACGGAAAGTATTCAGACCCCCTTAAATTTTTCAC